TGCAGTTCCAAGCAATGGCATTTTCTATTCACACAGGATACTACTTACATTTATTGAGGCAAAAGAAGGGTCTGATGACTGAAAGGCACAACTGATGAGGAAACTGAGATAACACAGTGTGGAGCTGGAGGAGCACAGCAGGCCAGGCAGCATCAGAGGAGCAGGAATTTGACATTTCGGTCAGGACCCTTCTTAAGAAGTGGGGAGGGGGATGGGAACTGGGAAATAAAGAGAGAGAGGAGGGGTAAGGCTGGGGAAGTTGGGTGGGATGGTGATAGGCGAGTGCAGGTAGGGAGTGGTGGGGATTGGTCAGTGAGGTGGGAGTGGTGGATATGTGGGAGAGAAGATGGATAGGTTGTGTCAGGTCAAGGAAGCGGGGATGAGAGGGAGGGTTGGACATGGGATGAGGCCAGGGGCGGGGAGATTTTAAAACTGTGCCATTGGGCTGTAGGCTCCCAAGGGGAATATGAAGTGCTGCTCCTCTAGTTTGCAGGTGGCGCCATTGTGACACTGGAGGAGGCCCAGGACGGACATGTCACCCAGGGAGTGGGAGGGGGAGTTAAAATGGTTCACGACTGGAAGATGTTGTCGTTTGTCACGTACAGAGCGCAGATACTCTATGAAACGATCTCTGAGTCTACATTTGGTCTCACCGATGTACAGGAGGCCACATCAGGAGCAGCGGATACAGTAGGCCAAGTTGACAGATGTGCAGGTGACCCCCTGTCTAATGTGAAAGGTTTGTTTTGGGCCTTGAATGGAGGTGAGGGGGGAGGTGCAGGGCTTCCTGCATTTGCAGGGAAAGGTGCTGGGTGTGGTGGGGTTAGTGGGGAGTGTGGAGAGGATGAGGGAATCGTGGAGTGAGCGGTCTCTATGAAAGGCAGATAGGGGTGGGGAGGGAAACATCTCTTTAGTTGTGGGGTCAGACTGTAGGTGGCAGAAGTAGCAGAGAATGACACGCTAGATGCATTGGTTGGTGGGGTGATATGTGAGGACAAGAGGTATTTATTTTTGTTGGAGGGTGGGGCTTTGAGGGCAGAAGCGTGGGAAATGCAAGAGTCAGAGATAACACAGTGTGGAGTTGGAGGAGTCAGAGATAACATCTGCAGTTCTTGCTATCTCTGATGAGGAAACTGGTTGTGCAGCTGGAAGTAGAGAATAGGAGTAATGGGCAGGTACTCTGGTTCACTGAATGTGACTAGTGGACTGTGGCAAACCTCTGCATTATGGCCTTAGCTATGCACTATAGTCATTATTTGAATTATGAAGGAACAGGAGACAAGGTGTTTGATTTGCTGTTGACACAATCTTAGGCCGTGTTGTGATATGTGTAGATAAGAGCACAAAATTACAAGAGAAACCAGTAGCTTGATTAAATTACAAGCCATAACAAAGGGATCTCAAGTTGGTATAGGTGCAATCTACCATGTTAGACCTAAAAATGTGAAAGGTCAGAAACACTGGTGGATCCAAGTACATAGGTCATTAAAATGTCATGTTAATCTTTATATCCAGAGAAATAGGATGTAGTAGGGTAAAAGTTTTACTATGGCTAGTACCCCTGGTTAGTCACATTCAGAATACTATGGGCACATTTTGGCACTACACCTTACAAAGCAGATATTAGTACTGGAGGAAATGTAACAGATTTACAGAATGACACCTGGACTTCAAGCATTAAATTACAATGACAGAAATTTGTACTAGCCGGAATTTGAAGAAAGATATTAAGAATGTATGTAGGTAGGGAGAAACTGTCATAGCTGGTTGATAAAGCTCAGACTAGGGGTACCGTCTAAAAAAAATTAGAGCTTTCAGGAGTGAAATTAAGAAACACGTGTAAAGTAGAAGTTTAGAACTATTTTCTGCAATGAGAAACTGATGACTAGTTGTGGATTTTACATTTTAATTTGATATAGTTTTATTAACCAAAGGTATTCTGATATCATACACCGAATAACATTATGGAATCTACAGATTACGGTAGTCACTGCCACATTCTTACAGTTTTCAAAACATCAATATACACCTCAGTACTCTACAATTAATTAAGATTTTTTAAAGTAAAACAGAAAACTGTGGATGCTAGAAATTGCTGGAGAAACTCAGCACATCTGGTAACATCTGTGGAGAGAAAGCAGAGTTAACGTTTAGAGTCCAGTGATTCTTCTTGAGAACCTTCTTTTAAAGTATAGTCACTATCATATTGTAGAAAATACGGCAGCCAAATTGAGCACAGCAACCTCACATAAATAGTAAATCATAATGCTAGATAATCTGCTTTGGGCATGTTGATTGAGGGATAAACATTGGTCAGAACACTGGCGATAATTCTCTTGCACTCAAACAGTGCAGCACTGCGTTGCAATGTGAGCCTTGGTTTCAATGCTCTCACGTTCTTATGGGCAATTAATGTGGACTTACCCACATAACTGCATCCTGATCAGAAATTAACATACTTACTTAATTTCACTGGTACACAATGCGAGATTCGGGCGCTGCATACGGCTACACAGTGATCCAGTTACGACTGAACAGGGAGTCACATCGTAACAATCGGCAACACCCCTGGGTTACAAAGTAACAAGCGCCTCGGTGACATGAATTACAAACACAGACCAGGGCAGAACGTTGTTGCAGTCAAGAGATGAATACCAAACTAGCAGATCTTCCTGGTAATCCGGGTAAATGATTCAAATCTAAATAATTCTCATCTCGATAAAGGCTCGCAGGAAAAGCTTCAATACCGCACTGCACCCAGTATTGACGCTGTCTAGTCCCGACCCTGGAGGACTCCACTCCTCCTGAGCATGACGTCACAATGGTCACTCTATTCCTCCAGGCTGCGGCAGCGCGGTTATCTCTTGACCACTGCGGCCCGCCGTTCAATGGACTCTCTTTGGTCACATTCTAGGTTCCGCCCTCCCCCGCCACAGCGCCTGCGTCGGCTCGTCGCGGAGCGGCGATTGGTTGCCGCCCTGTCCCACGTGACGGTCCCCGGGCCTCGGACCCGGCGGCGGCAGCCATTTTGTGAGGAGTCCATTATTTAAAGAGAAGAGCGTGCGCGGCGGCTCCCCTTTTCTGGGCCGGGTGTCTGTACTGTGGGTGCGGGCGGTGAAACTTCACTCCTTACCGGGCCTGCCAAGGAGCCTTTAGTGTGTACTTTTTATTTGGTAATATATACGCACGCACACGTACGAAAGCAGCCCCGGTTGATTTTTATTTGTGTAGAAGCAGGAGGTGGTGGCGTGCGCGGGCGGGGCTCCTTGACTCGGCCCTGTCCTTTTTTTATTCCCGTCTCCCTTTGATCCGGGTGGCGCGGCGGCTTCCCGGGTTTTTTTTAATTTCTCCATCCCATCTCCCCTATCTCCATCACCGTCACCACCACACCCGCGCACACTCACACTCTCGGAGCGATGTCGGAGGCCGTGCAGTTCTCCGAGGTGGAGGCCGAGGCTGCCGGCCAAGGCCTACAGGATATGGCGGCGGCCGAGGCTGGGGCGGCGACGGCGGGCATGACCGATCCGGCGATGGAGGCCAAGGCGAGCGACGGCGGAGATGTGTCGGGTGGAATCGCCGAGACCGAAGGGGCCAAGATCGACGCCAGCAAAACGGAAGAGGATGAAGGGTGAGGAGCCGCTGGGCCTTTGTTGTATTTTTTTTTGTGTAGAGTATGTTCACTTGGATTGGGGAGGCCCCGGCTGAGCAAGGCCGAGGTTGGGGTGGGGGTGAACTGCACAGGTTTTTATTTATAGCCGGGGAGTGGGTGCATGGAGATTTCCAGGCTTCAGCCACCTCCTCTTCCCCCGGAAAGGCGAGGTAACGAAAAAGCAGCAATGTCCTTGAAGCCGTTTTGAACTTAAACCTCAACCACCCTCTCTTTTCTCTTTCCCCTCCCCCCGCCCCCGGTCCCCAAATCCTTCACAGCGGCCAGCAACCCCTCGAGGTGGGTTTTTATAAGTGCCGTTATTTATTTTAAATTTACACGAATCGAAGGTGAACCTGTCTTCCAAATATCGAAAATCTAGAGGTTTTTTGTAGTGTTCCGCCTTTTTCTTTTTTCTAAAATTCCATTGAGAACCGGTGCTGCTGCTGGAAGGTGTAAAGCGGCGCCGCATGTGGCGGAGCGGATCGGATCGAGGGAAGGGAGGCCCATTGGGCTGGTGGCGGGAGGATGGGGGATGGGTAAGTGGTGTCCAGCATCGCCGCTTTTACAGCCCTTACTCTCCATCCGTCCTCGTCATTCCCTCTTTCAGCAATCGGAGTGCAATCGGCCCAGGCTGGATTAAAACTGCACCGCGTACGACCGTGCAGATTTCCGGTTGAAATCCCTCTCCCATGTGCTCTTTTTTACCCGCGGCTAGGTGTTTTTGACGAGCTTGTTTCACAAGGTAGGAGTGGATTCAGCTTTTGTATTGTTTCATTGTCTTTGACTAATGCGAATCGGCGATGGGAATGTTTTACTTTAAGTTTTCTAATTGTTACATCGGGTGGCTTTTGATTTCACTAGGTGTAAGCTTTAAGATTTAAGCATCTTTCTAAACCTACATTTAGCGACGTTGTGCTTTTGACGTTTAACTTGTGAAGTTACTGTGGTTTTAACTTTGTAGCACTGGCTGCACTGAGCCATTTGATTACCAAGTGATTAAAAAGTGGTACGTCATTGTGGCAACTTGTCTTAAATTTCTTTCACAGTGTTGACTGGTTTTAATGCTTTGCAACTGGCAATATGGCCAGTTAGGCAGTCGTTTTTGAAAATTAAAATATTCAGGTTGCAGGTATCTATAAATTTCTAGTTAGTCTGGTTACTGGATGCACTTAACCTTTCATATGAATGGTTTCCTGAAATATTCAAACAGCTTCATTATTTGAACAGTTGTGATCTTTAAATCTAGTTTTGCAGACAGCAGCAGAGTCTCTCTGAGTAGCCCATCCACATTGATCTGATTTTAAAATAAACAAAAGAACTGTCGGTGCTGGAAATCAAAAACAAAACTGAAATTGCTGGAAAAACACAGCAGGTCTGGCGGCATCTGTGGAGAGAAATCAGTTAATGTCTTGGGTTCACTGACCCTTCCTCAGAACTGATGATAGCTAGGGAAAAGTTGGTTTTTATGCAAAGATAAGGTGGGTGGAGGAACCCAGGGTTGAGAGAAAAGCAGGTGGACAGACAATGGAGTGGATGTTGGTGGGATGGTAGGTGAGGACAGGGTGAACCCTATTGCTGTTGTGGGAGGGAAGAGAGGTGGTGAGGGCTGAAGTGCGGGGATTGGGTCGGACTTGGCTGAGGGCCCTGTCAACTACAGTACTGGGGATTCCTTGGTTGCGGAAGAAGGTGAGCATTTTGGAGGCCCCCTTGTTAAAGTTGGCATTTTTGGGACAGATAAGACGGAGGAACTGGGAAAATTGAATAGTGCCTTTACAGAAAGCATCCTGCCAGGTCTGCTGAGCTTTTCCAGCAATCAGTTTTTGTTTCTCTTTGATCTGATGCTTGCCTGTGAAATGTCTAAAATAATCAAGTGTCCTTTTGGTCTGCATGGTGCTCGCATTATGCTGGACTCTGCATTGGGTGATTGGAAATGTGCCTGCTTTTTTCCTGTTAATGTCTTTGAATTGGGTTGTCGCAAATACTGATGTCCCCACTGGTTGAAGAGAAGCTCAGTTACCCAAGTGTCTCTAAGACCTACTGGGATAGAATGAACTGTATGGTGCATAAAGATCAGAAAATACAGTGATCGTAATTTAAGTTGCCCCCCCCCCCCCCCCCCAAAGGTAGCAGTTAACATTGCATTTTGGGTTCTGTTGCTTGATCAGAGGGAAATATCAGCCACTGTTTCAAATTCTGATTGTTAGCTTCTGTTAAAGTCTAAGCAAGTGTTTAAAGCCAGGATTGGAATCTGTTGTTGCCAGTCTGCTAAAATTTTGAGGTTTGCATATGAAGATTGGACATCTGGACAATGTACTTGTCCAGCAAGGCATCAATTTTAAAAAGGTATGTCCACTCAATAATTTTTTTCACCCAACGCGTATATTGGGATCAGCTTGTGGCCAGACCAATTGGGATGCATTTTTTGGCAGAAAATAGTGTCCTGTTGCTGTAGAATTGCATTTACACTTTTCTTTGCAACTGCAATTTTCTGGTGTTGCTGCCAAGACTAGGAGGAAAATGCCTGTATAAAATTGTTGGAGATTGCAATAGATAGACCCAGTAAAGATTATGGCAAAGGTTTAATGTTTTCGTTTCTGGTCTGTTAATCAAACTTGGTATGTCTGGCAATGAGAACTTTAGTCTGTTTAATCAAGTGCCCTTGCTCGACTCTTCCTTTTATTTAATTAAAATTTTTGCTTAGCTTTGTAGTCACCAGTGTTATCCAGTTGACATTGTCTCCAGCATAAACATACACCTGGGTCCACGCATATCTCACTTCCCACTAAATCCAAACATTTGATCCACCAAAATTGTCTTGCAAGGAAGAAAAACTTCATTTGAAAATTTTCGTAGGTCTTTACTCTGGTGTACTGTCCAACCTCTGTTGAATGATTGAGAGGATGTTGTTTCCTAAACTGATCTTGTAAGATTGGGTGACTTTGATTGACAGGGATGATGTTTGTGCTATTTTATTAGAATTGATTTGAAAGCCCTGACTCAAATATTGAGTGCCAGTGTAATTGGAGACTTAATTGAGAATTCTAAGACTCGTAACTGGAGTTCGGTGTCATGGACATTGCCTGACTTATTGATTGTTTTGGAGAAATGTACAGTAAATTTGCAAGGCCCTAATCTATCTAACCAATTGCTTAAGTTTAATGTGCTTGTGCATCTACTGCATTGTTGACTTGAAATAAAATTGCTAATGTGTGTCCACGAATAGCTTTCTGCATGCATTCTTGATGGAGGCGCACCAGGGAAACATGGTTACTGTATGAGGCAGCTTAAAGTTTTGATTTGGCTACTGATGTGTATATATACTTCACTGTTTCTGCAGAAAAATGTTTGTGGGTGGCCTCAGCTGGGATACCACAAAGAAAGATCTGAAGGACTATTTCTCTAAATTTGGAGAGGTGGTAGATTGCACATTAAAGTTGGATCCCATTACAGGGCGTTCAAGAGGATTTGGATTCGTCCTGTTTAAAGAGGCTGACAGTGTGGATAAGGTATTTGATCATAAAACCATGGGCTTAAAAAAAATGGGTTCAGAAGAAATGGCTTAATGAAATCAAGTTTCTCTATTTGTTTGCTTAGAATGATGTCTTGAATATTTTTGTCCTTTTACCATGTAGGTTATGGAACAGAAGGAACATAAATTGAATGGCAAGGTAATTGATCCTAAAAAAGCCAAGGCCATGAAAAAAGAGCCCGTAAAGAAGATATTTGTAGGAGGTCTTTCACCTGACACAGCCGAGGAGAAGATCAGGGAATATTTTGGAGCTTTTGGGGAAGTACGTAATCTTATCCTGGTGGTTTCATTGTGTGGCATATATGTGATCACTGTTTGGATAAATGTGTGGCTACTAATTCAAGCTGTGCGTTGTGAAATGTGCACAGACTAACTCGAACCAGTGCATGATGAGAGATAGGTATGCAAAATATTCAATGAATT